TTGAGGATGTCTCACATTTTTATTCAAGATTTTATTGAAAATTAGAAACAGTGCCCTTTTCTTTTTTTCCTCGAGATTCTGATGAATAGCAATGTTTCTTTTACATATTATAAAGTAAACCAGATCTCCTAATATCCCAAAGAAAACGAGGTTGTTTAATTAAATATTTAAAAAATTATTCCATTTTGAATTGTTTCGGACTATTAATAGGAAGGAGGCATGATAACCACTCAGCATTTAACATCGGTCTCCGCCACCTTCTTGTGGAACATCTTGTCGCTTTATTCTCTGGAGAATCACCTGAAATTTGAGTTAACACATGCTATAATATTTGACTTAATTGTAACGATTATTAAATGCATTAAATATCATCGTGATATTAAATTCGTAAATGCTGGTAGGATTGGCGAAAGACGTACGTAGCTTATTATGTCTACACTTCTCAACTTTCACTTCTTTGCATATAATGACAAATCTAAGTATTTTCCGTGTGTCAACCAGAAGATCACTGTGTCGCCTCAACAAGAATCATTGCATTTCTTAGTAGATTTTGAATTTAATATCAACTTTCTACGTTAATATTGAGGGTGTACCAATTCAAATTTATTAAAATCTCTTAATTTTTTAATTTATATTTACATTCCATTTGTTTGTTTATATTCAATCTTTAAGTTGTAAAAATTTACCGTTTCTGAGGCTACCAGGCAAATGATAGCACCGAAGGTAACAGTGGTTCCGAACATCCCTCTAACTGCTTGCTTCGACTACTCTCTCAATTTTCACGATCGATGAACTGCAGACAGACCGACGATCCGCGGATCTATAAGGATAGCTGTCGTGTCCCACGCAGGGCATCGACCAATCGCGATGCACAAAGTACAATATCTTTTGATCCTTCCTCTTCGACTAGCTGCTTTGCGATTCACCTATTACTTTTATGTACAAACAGTGGCGTGGGCGGGATTGCTCAGACGAAAGTAGAATGCGACACTTTCTAAAATTATAAAAGAGACAGAAAAGCAAATGCATGCAATTGAATCCTTATAAGAAGAAGGACTAATGATACTTACTAAAACAAGAAATAATATTTAATCGAACGATGGTGTTTGACAGAAATTGTCGAAGACGTTCGCTTCGCTGTCGATGGCAGAGAACTGATCGTTTGAATCCATGATCCATCTCGATGCAACATATAAGGGCGAGACCAGGTGTCCCGCATCGCGCGCCAACCAATCGAATCCGACCGACCGACCGACCGGGCGAGCTTTCTACTTACCTGTTTCTCGAATTCGCTCGTCTGATCCTTACGGTCCTTTTTCACTGATACCATACACGCGGAACACGAGCGATGCGAATGCGTGGGTTATGCGGGACCACGTGTTACATAAATATCGGACGATGATCTTTGAAAGTGACGTAACCGGTGCGAAAAAACACTTTTGCTGCGTTTTGAAACGGTCTCGGATGTCCTTGGCTTAGTTTCTATTCGAATCGGTTCCATACAAACGAGACATTTTTCATTGGATTTCAGACTCTACTTTAATCCGAATCATAAAAGATTACAAGTTTCAACTAGATCAACTTATGCCATAAATAGTACTTCAGTCTTTGGCTACGTCCTATCATTCCCCATTAAACTATTGTTGTAGGATTAAGATGATTCTTCAGTATGCGTCTGGATTGTCTCGAAGATTCATGGCTATTTGATTTCCCAAGTCCTTCTGAAACTCCTTCACGTTCATCTCCGATTGCTAGAAATCATTCGCAGTGTTATGTCAAATATAAATTATTTTTAGATTGGAAATTAACTTTTAAATGATTCCATAGAAAAATTACTGCTACCAATCTAGTATAGTGAAAGTTCAGTCAATTTAAGAGTTAGTATAATGTCGCTGCTTATAGTGTGATTAAATATCATTGAAATTAAGTTCTTTAGGAGAATTAGTGAAATAAGATTTTAATTCCAGATAATATGTTTAATCGTCTTACGTCTAAAGCGTCCTTCCACTCTATATTAAAAAGCCTAACAAGCCCCAATACATTTCGCCTAATTAAAGTCTGCAATCCACTTCTGGTTAGAACGTAGGGTGCTGGTGTAGTCGTCGTTTCCGTCGCATTGACGTTAGTCGCATTCTTTTGCTCATCAGTCGAGGCTGCGGCTGTTAATTGCGCGGTCATCATCGTACTCTGTGTTGCTGAATCCGGAGCTATCGTGTTATTGATTATATTACTGATTTGTTTTATCGCCGACTTGGTATCGTTGAACATCTAATCAGATTAAACAAATTAGTATTTAATATCATCTGGAAGATTAATAATCTTTAAGGAGACTGACCTCGAACGTGACTCTTGCCAGAGTCCAAAAAAATCCAGGTTTCTCATTTCTGACTTGCCTAACGACTCTCCTCGACTCTTCGGGAATAATTCTGTCCTCGATCCCATTTAAGCCTAGCTCCTTTTCACTCGAATCTTCCGATAATAGTTTATCAAGTATTATCATCTTCTCTATAATTTCATCTTCGTGCGATCCGTTTACATTCTCTTCGAAATTTAATGGATGTTTCTCCGTCCCCGTTTCATAATTACTCGATGCAAAATTGTAATTACGATACCCGTCTGGATTCCTCTTTGATATCCTTTCGGAGAGACTCAATCCCACTGGAGCAATTTGATAATTATTTGCTGGATGTACAGACTGAGACAAGCTCTCATATCGTAACGATGGGCTCTGAATACTGGAAGGATTGTACTGTGCATGTGATGTGGGAACCGAAGGGTTGTAATTCGACAAATAGTATGTTCGAGGCTCGCTGTGGAGGGGATGGATAGAACACACTAACGTCAAGCTGACTGCCCATAGATTGATCATTGACAGCTGCATCTGGAATGAATATTCGTTTGTATAAAAATGTTATAAGTCAATAAGAATTGTCACGTAAAATGAAATTAC